GGCTCTGTGTAAAACATCTGACCCATTGACCTCCTCCAAATGATGACATTGTTGTTGTAGTTCTGTTAACGCTCTCTTCTCCTCTACCTACATTTCCATTCATACTATCTTGCCAGCATCTCATCCTGGAATCATGTGTTCATCCTAGGTCCGCCGTAAATATTTGTATAATCAATAGCATACCGGCACATCTACAAACATTACCCAATCTCTCCCTCCATCCTCAACAACAAACCTTCTGTCCTTCCATCCATCCATCCATCCATCCATCCATCCATCCATCCATCCATCCATCCATCACAACAGCCTTATTCTGTCAATCCATCCATCCTCCCAAGTAACCTTTTCTTCTCCTTCCATCCATACACCCATCCCAACAAACTTCTTCTGTAAATCCATCCATCCATCCCAACACGCAAACCTTCTTCTGTCAGTCTATCCAACCCCCCCCCCCCTTCCAAAAAAAAAAAAAAAAGAACATTCGTCTGTCACTCCCACCGTCCGTTTCCCTGATCCTATAACCCAAATAATGGCCAGACATTGACCTGCTAAATGATTTCACTGTTGGAACGCCAGGTTATTGATTTCTCAACGAATTACCCCCCCCCCCCCTTTTGCCACCATCATAGCCCCACTATTCCAATGGAGGGATTTTTCTCTTGGCTGTTCCCATCAGTATCCTATCATAAAATCAATACGTATCAACCCATTTAAACAAAAATAAAATATTCAAATCAATGATATAGTTTAAATCTCTTTTGCTCNGTTGGAACGCCAGGTTATTGATTTCTCAACGAATTACCCCCCCCCCCCTTTTGCCACCATCATAGCGCCACTATTACAATGGAGGGATTTTTCTCTTGGCTGTTCCCATCAGTATCCTATCATAAAATCAATACGTATCAACCCATTTAAACAAAAATAAAATATTCAAATCAATGATATAGTTTAAATCTCTTTTGCTCTTAGATAAAGTGTAGATTGACAAAAACATAAATTAAGTTATGCGAAAAAATGACTCCTTGAATTTTGAATTGATCTAACATTTTCGGAGGAGGTGCTCAATGAGCCCCTTCCCAGTCCTCTGCCCTCACGTAGGCTTGCAAGACTTAGGGTTCCTTGATTTCCGCCTCTGTCCCACCCCCTCCCCCACCCCCGTTACTGTGAAGTTATTTTATAAATCTGTACTTTAATTTTATGAAACAAATGTAATTTTTTGAAACTGTACTTTAATTTTATGAAACTGTACTTTATTTTTATGAAACTGTTCTTTAATTTTATGAAACTGTACTTTAATTTTATGAAACTGTACTTTAATTTTATGAAACTGTACTGTAATTTTATAAAACAACTGTAATTTTATAAAGCTGTACTGTACTTTTAATGAAACTGAGCTGTAATTTTTTATATCACGCCGTGCTTTGATTTTATGAAACTGTGCTGTAATTTTTTATACCACGCCGTGCTTTGATTTTATGAAACTATGCTGTGATTTTTATGAAACTGTATTGTGATTGTACTCTATCTTAAGTGATGTTACCACAATCATGAGACAGTTTCATTAATCATTCCGAATGACGTCATATCTAGCCTTACTAGCGTCCCGAATTGACCGGGATAGTCCCTGTTTAGCAGCCTTGCCATAATCCCTGTTTAGCAGCCTTGTCATAATCCCTGTTTAGCAGCCTTGTCATAATCCCTGTTTAGCAGCCTTGTCATAATCCCTGTTTAGCAGCCTTGTCATAATCCCTGTTTAGCAGCTTTGTCTCACTTATAAAACACGTTTGAGCTATATCCCACGCATAAAATACGTTAAAGCCACGCCACGCGTGTAAAACACGTTTAAATAATGTATTACATTTAAATCACGTTTCAGAAAATAAGCCAATGTTTCTATTGGTTGACCAGCTCCCTCTTGCGTCATAAATCACACGAAAAATGACGCCGTGTGACATTCGTCTCAACGTGAAGATGGAACAGTCTAATCGAGAGACACGGGCTTTAGCTGGCGAATTTATGCTAAACTTTTACCATTGTCAGACATATGCGTACACCAGACAGCCATTTTTCCCCCAATAAACATTAAAATTTAACAATTAAAAACAGGAAGGCGCAAATTAACCTTAACATATATATAGAAATTTAACAAGTGATTACCGAACATCAATGAATATATGATTACATATAAATGTAACATAATAATAACAAGATCATTGGAAAAAGTTACATGAAAGCAATTTATTTGTCTAAATTCAACATACGTACGAACTTTTGGAGCATATTTTTTTACTTTAAAACGATTATGACATTATTAAATTAGCATCGTCATAGCAGTAAAAAATGTATCTACAAAAACAGTGGTGGGTGGAAAGCTAGGGAAGATAACAAAGTGTATAGCACATTATGTGTTGACAAAAAGTGGAGCAATAATGGTGATAACAGTGCATTAACCCCCACGAGGCTGGTGATGCCTAAACTTGGCGGGAAAACAGCCTTTTTGTGTCTTAGAGTTAGACATGTGTAAACAACTATTCTGGGAGGAATACCCTCACTTCAGTAGGCTCACCCTACTGTGTAAAAACATGGCCACCACTTCAGTAGGCTCACCCTACTGTGTAACAACATGTCCATCACTTCAGTAGGCTCACCCTACTGTGTAACAACATGTCCATCACTTCAGTAGGCTCACCCTACAATGTAACAACATGTCCATCACTTCAGTGGGCTCACCCTACTACGCATGTCCATCACTTCAGTACTATGTAAGAACATGTCACAATCACGAGCAATGCTGTTGTTGCTAACTCATATTATTAATGAGGGGACCATGTGGCAGATCTTATGAGCTAATACTAATACAAATACTTAGGAGGTCTACTAGGAACAGTTAAGGTAGATCTATTCGGGACAGCTAAGTTAGATCTATTAGGGATTATTCTATGTTAGTTTGTTCCATTCTGTACAAGTATTAATTCAATTATCTGGAACACATGTTCCAAGCCACTTATAGACCCCTATTGTAGTGGTGTACAAACTAAGTGATTCAACTCCTTTATTTATTACTATTATTACAATTATTCTGTCAATGATGAAACAATTCTTCCGTCCAACTCTGTTCAACAGACACTTATTTCTGCTTCTCTAAAGTTTTCTTTGGCAGAAGCAAAACTATTATGTTATGTTTATATATGGATATATATTTAATCTTCTAAAGTGGATTTACGCAAATTATTCCCAAATGACTCATTAAACCACCTGCACAAATTCTACCCTGCCTAACACAAAAAAACTGTTTCCATATTTTTCAAACTTCAAAGAACGCAATGGCTCACTCAAGTTCCTCAACTCGGTAAGTGGGGTTTATAAACTAAGTTGTCGGCCTTCGATTTTTTTTAAGGCTAGAGAAGGATCACTCTGCTTTTCTGTGAGGCGCCTTCGGGGAACTACAGGAAATATCAGCAACAATTTTAGTGGGTTCCACAAGAAAGATGTGTCTAATTCCAAATATATCTACAGTTTTAGCCATTTAATAGGTTTCCAGATGGATATCAGAATTACCAATTCACGTTGATGTCCACCTCTAGACCAAGATCACGTCCACTTTGCCGTTAGGTTTATACAGTGATGGTGTATTACATTTAATTCTGCCGTTATATAATAATCAAGCAATATAAATACATTTAACAGAAATTATAAGAATACTCACAGTTAGCAAAAAACCCCCAGCAACTGTGTTTCTAATTCTTGTTTATATTTCACACTGATGGTTTATTTATGACCTACGGTCATGTTCTCACAGGTTTTACGACAATGCTCAGATTTCTCAGGAAGTTTTTCCATGAATTATTATCGTAAATATGATGTAGGCCTATACCTGAGTGTAACACGTCGAAACTGGTTGAAACGTTAAATGGCAGTTATGATACACCATTAGCCTCTGCAAGACACAGGAAACGTCTCATTGAATGGACCAATGGGATTTAAGTTTCATTTTTACCACCAGCACTTAATTTTTTTTGATGAAAGTAAAGGCAGCCGCCATTTTAAATTGAAACATGTACACATTTTTTTTATGCACATGTTAATCCGGTGAAAGCCAGGCACAAAGTGCGGGAATACCCAATCACGTTGCCTGTTTGACGAATGGCATACACATGTGCCCTCACGGCTATTTTAACACAATCATTTCATGACATGCAGAGACAAGGACCGGATGTTTTTAGACACGATTTATTTTAATTTATATTGTTTTTGCTGCATGCAAAGTAATAGTACAGGTTGCTTTCCCTAGAAGCATCTTAGTTACAGCAAATGATGTTTAATTTTTTAAAATTTTCTATAACTGAAGACAAATTTATTCTAACAAATGGGGTTACACTTTCACTTTCACACTCGACCTGCCGTTGTAAACTCTTTTAACATTATTTTGGCTTAGCAACAGAGACACCAAGACACCAACATTCGATCTAATTTAAAGATTCACGGAGAGATACTATAAACGATAATAATGTTGTAAATAATATTGAATAAATAATACATATTATGATTTCTTAGATAATATACAAAAAATGTCATTTTTAGAAAAGTGTCATTTTCGTAACTGTTCCATAGTAATACAAGGGATATAGGCAAGGAATTTGTAATGGATACAATACGCTAGGTTTTATCTTAGTTTTAAGTTTTATTTTTTACCAAGTATATCAGTGGTTCTAAACCTTTCTAATGCCACGACCCTTTCATAGAGTTCCTCATGCTGTGTTGGGCCCCCCCCCCCCAACAAAAAAAAACACAAATTATTTTCGTAGCTACTACATAACCGTAGAGTATATTTGTTTTCCGATGGTCTTAGGTGACTCCTGTGAAATTGTCATTCGACCCCTTCCCCAAGAAAGTTTTATTTTTTACCAAGTATATCAGTGGTTCTAAACCTTTCTAATGCCCCGACCCTTTCATAGAGTTCCTCATGCTGTGTTGGGCCCCCCCCCCCCAACAAAAAAAAACACAAATTATTTTCGTAGCTACTACATAACTGTAGAGTATATTTGTTTTCCGATGGTCTTAGGTGACTCCTGTGAAATTGTCATTCGACCCCTTCCCCAAGGGGTGGCGACCCCCAGGTTGAGAACCACTGAAATATATAATGACCAACAGCTAGCTAGCTACACAGTAAAAATCGTGAGTGATTGCGTGGCGCTAGTCACTGGTAGTAGAGCAAAGAAAGAAGGCATTCCTTCAAGTAGGAACAAATCGCCAGAGAAACCACTTGAACAGGCATCCTCAAAGCTTCAAGGTTTCTACCAAGAGTTTAGGCAACAGACAGCTGTGTATGTCCATTCAGCTGTTCATGACTGACATCCTGCTGTCCATTATGGACATACCATTGTCCAATATTTACAAACAGTTGTCCATGAATGACATAATGTTGTCAATGACTGACATACATCTGTTCATCACAGATATAAAGTTGTCCAATAGTGACAAACAGCTATACATGACTGACATACAGTTGTCCTTGACTGACATAAAGTTATCCATGACTGAAATAAAGCTGTCCATGACTGACATACTGTTGTACATGACTGATATACAGCTTTCCATGACTGACATGAAGTTGTCCATGACTGACATACAGCTGTGCAAGAATGACATACTGCTGTCCATCATGGACATTACATTGTCCAATATTGACAAATATTTGTCTAATATTGACATGCATATGTCAATGACTGACATACAGCTGTTCAATATTGACAAACAGTTGTCCATTGCTGACATATGTCTGTCCATGACTGGCATTCAGCTGTCCATCACAACATAAAGTTTCCATGACAAACATACAGCTGTCCATCACAACATACACCTGTCCATAAGAGACATATATCTATACTGCAAAGATTTTTTGGAAATTAAACTACTTTTATTCGGTCCAAAGTCAAGTAAAGAATTTGGTGGATTGCTTTTCTAAAAGTGGCCAAGATCATTAAAAGGGGACACAACTTAATATTCTAAAAGTGGCCAAGAACAAGGGGTCACAACTGAATATTCTAAAAGTGGCCAAGATCATTAAAAGGGGTCACAACTGAATATTCTAAAAGTGGCCAAGATCATTAAAAGGGGTCACAACTGAATATTCTAAAAGTGGCCAAGAACATTAAAAGGGGACACAACTTAATATTCTGAAACTGCACAACTGTTCCAAACTTTGTCTTTCTAACGACCAGCAACCCTGATAATTCCAACCACATAGAGAACTACAAGCATGGATGCGGTAATGTTACATGTCTTAAAAAGTTTGTCCTAGCCAGGGCCACAAGTGCAGTCTCTCGAAACAGAATTTTACTTTTTAAATTAAGGGGGGGCTACTATCTGCAATCACGACCCAACCAAAATATGTATTGTTATTATCTCCCTTTAAATTCTAAGACCTGACAGAACTTAAGTTGCCCATTAGGTTTTTTGACTTCACATAGCAAAGAGCAGAAGTAAGGATTGAGATTTCAGACGATGTATCCCGTGAATCAGAATGATAAATAGTTTTGTGTTATACTCAATCAATGAAACAGCAGTTTCTCCTTGCCTTCTAAAATAACTAAAACTTTAAATTCAATGTTGTGTGTTTTGTATCAACTTTAGCTAGGGCATGTCAGCATACCTTAAGCCTCTCGGGTAAAACACATGTATCAATAAATTTGATACGAGTTATTACAAGTATTGCATATGAATTAAAATGTATCGATCATAAAAAATCCATGTCCTCCAATGATTTTTATTTTCTATCTTATGAGTCTAACTTAAAATGTTACAGTTACAATTGAAACCATGGAAACCTGAAACAAAAAAATCCAACGTCATGTACAAGAAAGAACAAGAACTTAGAAGATAAATTAAAAAAATATCCCTGAATATTAAGGGGAGACTAGTGGACCATTGAAGGGGAGACTAGTAAACAAATGCAAATTTCTTATAATTGTACTTGATTCCCCCATCACGTTTCTGAAGTTCCAGCCTCTTGGCTAAAAGTACTTCTGACATCCATTCCTTGTTGACAGCAAAGCTCAGAGGTCTCTTGGGAATTGTGTTGTAGAAAAATGGCTCATTTGTCTCCATGTGAACATTTGGTGGCTCTGGTAAAAGTACCGGCTCTGGGCAATTGACGGCATAACTTATACGCTTCATGGGCTGCCTGGAGGTATAATATGAATTCAACATTATTGGAAATATACCAAAGACTAGACAGATGTACACCAGTAGCAAAAAGGTTTGACTGATAGACTTTTAGTTCTTCAACAGTCCCAACATAGAAACAGAGTCTAATATACAAGGATTTGTAATGTCCATTCTAAGTCCCAAGTAGAAGCATAGTCTAATATACAAGGATTTTGTAATGTCCATTCTAAGTCCGAAGTAGAAGCATATTCTAATATACAAGGAATTTGTAATGTCCATTCTAAGTCCGAAGTAGAAGCATAGTCTAATATACAAGGAATTTGTAATGTCCATTCTAAGTCCGAAGTAGAAGCATAGTCTAATATACAAGGATTTTGTAATGTCCATTCTAAGTCCGAAGTAGAAGCATATTCTAATATACAAGGAATTTGTAATGTCCATTCTAAGTCCGAAGTAGAAGCATAGTCTAATTTACAAGGAATTTGTAATGTCCATTCTAAGTCCGAAGTAGAAGCATATTCTAATATACAAGGAATTTGTAATGTCCATTCTAAGTCCGAAGTAGAAGCATAGTCTAATATACAAGGAATTTGTAATGTCCATTCTAAGTCCGAAGTAGAAGCATAGTCTAATATAAAAGGATTTTGTAATGTCCATTCTAAGTCCGAAGTAGAAGCATAGTCTAATATACAAGGAATTTGTAATGTCCATTCTAAGTCCGAAGTAGAAGCAGAGTTTAATATACAAGGAATTGTAATGTCCATTCTAAGTCCGAAGTAGAAGCATAGTCTAATTTACAAGGATTTGTAATGTCCATTCTAAGTCCGAAGTAGAAGCATAGCGTTATTATAATGTCTACATAAAGCCCAACAATGTTTAGGCACCTGTGATATCTCACAGGAAGTATGTCCAGGAATCTCATCCCCTAGTGTGTTATCTGGGGTGAGAGAGTGGGGTGTTACCTGGGGTAAATTTAAAAGTGTGGAGTGTTACCTGGGGTGAATTTAAAGTGTGGGGTGTTACCTTGAAAGTGTGGAGAGTTACCTGGGGTGAATTGAAAGTGCGGGGTGTTAACTGGGGTGGGTGTATTGGCTATTCTTTCCCTGCATGCGGCCATGCCTTCTAATATCTCTACATAGTTAGTAAGATTTAAATATAAGTAGAAAAAGATATCCAATATTAGAAAATAATGAAAAAAATATTGAGGTCATTACTAAGGTAAAGAGGATGATGTTGTTGCTATTTGTCATCAGCGTATGTTTAGTCAACCTCAGAGAGCGGACAGAAAGTTGGTATCAGGATTCTTCTGAATATTTTCACATTGATTATGAACCTCTGGGAATCTTTGAATATTACATTTTTGCAAGACTGGTGGATTACCTAACAAATATCTACCAAGCTAATCACAAAAAGATATCTTGTGAGATTTTTTTGGGGTAAAACAAAATGACAAATGAAGTTAACAAGACTCAAGCAATTTAGTATGCAAAGCAAACTTATTTAAAACTCTAAATGTCATGTAATTTATAGCTGAGCCGGGGACTATGCCCCGCCTACCCCTCGGATAGTTAAAGGGAACAAAGTTTGATGTGGGGAAAAAAAATTAACTTTGATCATAGGGGTCACGAAACCAAATGGTAGCAGGTGGCCTTCAGAAGTAACGAAAAACGATGTATGCATTACAAACTTACTTCAGTCCATAAGGGTCCCCATGGACTTGGGCTCTCCAGCCATATTTCTCTACAATAGTTTCATAATCATCTTCCTCTGGACTCACTGGTCTGGGCAAGACTTGACTGTCTTGGTTGTCATCGCTGCAGATCACGTTGACATCATAAACATAAGGAGCTGGTGGTTGTGTTTCCGGTCTTATGTCAACATTTGGGTCATCAAGTGTTTGTGGCAGGGACAACTAAAAATAGAAAGAATATGAAAGGGTCACTGTCACTTGTATGGCAACCTTCTTGGAAAAATCCATCCATGATACCTATCCATGCCCCCCCCCCCCTCATATGTGGTCTGATCAGTCATGAACTATTGACCTTTCATCAGCTTGAAAGTAAAACATTATCTAGTGCCAATGGGGCTGGCATTAAATTTTATGAGTAATTACCGGTTTGAGTGCTGTATGGCCCTGCCCAGGATCTCCAGCTGTCTGCCGTCCAGGCCCAGCAGTAACAGGCCGAGGAGGAAGAGGAGTCTTTTCCCTGCGCACTGTGGCACTTTGTATTCTAAAATTTCATGAAAAGAATAATATCTTAAAAACTATTTGAGACTTTGACCAGAGGTTCATTGCATACTTTCTCATAGAGTTCATCAAATGTGTCCTTTTTTGACAAGACCTTGGTGTTTACAATGGTCATTGTTGACCTCCCACAGATGAACTATCATACAGTAGTTTATAACCCTTACACAAAATCTTGGGGTTAATCCAAATAAAATATGATGCTTCCGTTGTAAAAGTAAAAAGTCAATCTTCTTTATTAAAAAAAAAATTTCGATCACATTATCGGAAATCAGTGCTAAAATACATCACATTATCGGCAATCAGTGCTAAAATACATCACACTATTGGCAATCAGTGCTAAAATACATCACATTATTGGCAATCAGTGCTAAAATACATCACATTATTGGCAATCAGTGCTAAAATACATCACATTATTGGCAATCAGTGCTAAAATAAATCACATTTTTGGCAATCAGTGCTAAAATATGCTCTTACAAATACATAGATTAACTGCATACAAGCACCTCACCTGAAAAAAAATTCACTAATTTATGAAATTCTATCGTTTGTAAAATCACTTATGTAAAGCAGGTATTTGTTCATGCTACCTTGATGGTCTCTTTGAGGCAGAACTATACTTTCCACATGCTGGTGGTGTTGGGGCTGTGTGAAGCGATAGACCTGGTGACTTGGCCAGGGAAGACGGAGGCCGTGGCTTGACCTGCCCATTCTGAGAAAACAACATTTTTATCTTTCAGTTTTAGAAATTTAATTGAGTTGTTTTTTATGAACAAGAAATGATCCTTTAAAGACAAAGAGACATTAATAGAAAATGATTCTTAAAATGATTTACTGTCATGACATGTTTTGTATGAACATTGTTTTTAAATTTACACAGTGGGTCCTATTGATAACTATTTTTTTAATAGGGCAAAGTCGAGCATCTGATCAAATAACAGAGAAACCTTCACAAAAACTTTTAACAGACTAAACCTGCAAGGAGATGGGAAAGAAAAGCTTGCTTAAACCATGGATGGAAAGTCTTCTTGTCCTGAAGACCGCCCCTGGCCTTAAGTTTATGCATCAGTCAAAGTATGGAGAAGTGATTTTAGTTTTAATGAATAGGAAACAACTTGAAATTTATAATTTACTTGCCTCTTTGGTCAATCATACAACCCAGAACACTTGTATACATAGTAATTATCATATTATTGAAATAAAGGAAATATGAAGCAGATGACTGTGTTTAATTTTCTTAACTGGCAACATGACTTATTTATTATGAGTAGTATATAATCACAGTAATGTCCCTCACCTGAGAAAAATATGAACTGAAAGGTTGCACAGGACCAGCTTTGTAGGCAGGTGGCCATCCTAGAGCAGCAGATGGCTGGGAATGTGGAGCATCAAAAGATCTCCTTGAGTCTATAAATAAAGTGGATGGCAGTGTCATTGAGATATTAGGCCAGGTCCGAGAGAATGAGGAGAACATGCCAACTGTAATAAGGCAGTAGAACTCTAAGAGAACAGGAAATGCTTGTTGTCTGTGAAATGTTGTTAATGTGTACAGACCAAACAATTTGAATGAGAGCTCACCTTATTTGTATTTTTTAAAATAGAGTTATGTTACACTCTCTCCCCCTAACTAAGAGATAAATTTAACTCATTTTGAGATGTTTAATTTTTGAAATGCCAAAAAATGAATAGGATTAAACATGTTGTGACATTTTATTTTGATTTTGAGACTTTTTATAGTAATGTTATCAAGAAATAGGCATTGTTCCGATTGGGGGAGTGGAAGTTTAGAAAAATATATAATGAAACATGGGATTTGGAATCTGACTGATGTGTAACAGATTTACATGATATAGTAAAGCTTTCTTATTTTCAGCAATGAAATAATAGCTTTTAATTCCAGTCAACTAAGACACACCCCAGGCTTCCAGTCAACTAAGACTCACCCCAGGCTTGTTGAGAAGATTGTTGTTTCTCATAGCAATACTTGTCCTGCTGCTGCTTCAAGAGTTGTTGTTGCTTATCTTGAGCCAGTGGCCAGGTAACTTCTGATGGTGGAGCAGGGGAGAAGGACAAGTTATCCCCAGCCACAGCCCATTGCGTCTCATGTGGTGACTTGTGTGTAGACCAACACTCGGCAGGGGTGGGGATGTGAAGTTTTGGAGTTGGGTTAAATTTAGGCACAGGAACTGACTTAGCTCTCCTCCTGGTCAAACAGTTAGCAACACAAATATTATGCAATATGATACATGCAAAAATAATTGTTTCCTAGAGTTTTTAGATTAATGATTATAATTGAATTATTTACTTTAATAACATGTTACATTTTTTTTTAAATGTATAATCACTGTGATGATAGTACGGTCTTGCTGATTTCATCATTAGTAGAATGCACACTGCAACCAAATTATTGAAATGGGTTTTTACTTAATATTTTGTAGAGGCAGTTAAAAATATACATATTTATATTTAAATGAAAATATTAAAGATAATCAGATGCTGATCAGTTGTACATGTATTTTTGTAATTCATCCTGAACGATTATGTGAATTAGAAATTAAATGACATGATCTCCAATTTGAATAGGGAATCATATAGATTTTACTAAAGGAGTCAATAGTTTTGTGTATTTAAACATTGAAAAGTACTAACTTTAAATCCTGTGGGGTTGGAGATGATGATCTGCTGGAAACACCCCTGACCATCAGCTCAGGCTTGGGTGGGGCAGCCTTATCTTGGTAGTACATTGAGTTTTCATATTGGTAAAGACAGTCCAGGTCTGCAACAGCAATAATAATACTAATAAGGAACACAATTTCTTTTCAATTTTTTGGAATGTGAAGGTAAACATGCATGAAGTAGTCACACCTGGTTTGAACTTGCTGATACTTTAGTGTGAGTGTTTGCATGCAAGGGTAATTTGTTTTCTGCATGGGAAGGAGAAGTTTCTTTTTGTGATGCAATTGCAGGAATATAGAGGACACGACTCAATTTTTTTTAATGCTGAATAATAGTACAGGTATATACAGTACAGACTGAGAAGAGTTTGACTACATTCTTACTTCATTAAAATAAAATGCAGAGTCATTTATATATTTATCAGATAAAAACAAGGCAAACATTATTCCACTGGTGGGTAAGTTCAAAGTCAAAAGTCTTCAAAAAGCAGTAAAAATATGATGCTGCCACCTTTTGATGACATCATGAATGAATGCAATTAAAAAGTTTTGTGAAAGGTGACAAAAATATGTCAGCTCAAAATCAATTTCAGTGAAAAAACAGTGAAGTAGCTAAAAATTATAAAGTTAGAATCAAATGGGCCCATTCAGAGAAGCTGCCTTACTGCCAGTGCATTCTAACTATATATGTTCGTCAAGGAAGGTTTTTTGTTATTAAGATTTCAAAAGTTTTTGCAAGCATAGTATTTTCCTTAACATAAATTTTAATTATTTTTTTAATTGTAGACAGTTTAATTATGGTTGTAGACTGAACAGTTCTTAATAAAAAAACTAAAAAAAACTTGATCATGTTATTAAACAGCATATAAATATTGGCGAGGGCTTACGATAAGATGATGGTCGTCCCTTTGGCCTATATATGTCATGGACTGACGGGTACCATCCATAGGTTGTTTCCTTCATGATAAGAATAGATCTGAAAACAAAAGGCAATAATCATGAGGTAAAAAAGAATATATGCTTGCTTTACAATTAAAACTTTGGCATCTTTAACATATTCTTGCCTGTTTACTTTGCCTGATCCTGGTGGGTCTTTATCAAAACTGTTTTACCAGCAAAATTAGTTTCATTTCAATACAGATTTAAAGCTTGCTTATTTCTAGCAATTTTCATAGTAACAAGTATGACCTGACAAAAACATGTGAACATGAAACTTCAGTTAAGATATTTAATAATGTTCATTAAGTTGGACATTTTTAAACTCCCATTCATAAACACATTAAAATTTTCAAAAGGGCTCAATCAGAATCAGAGTATTCATTTATTGATGATATTTGACACTGTATTTGTTCCACTCAGGTAGGGTATCAATCTCAGAGCACTGTGCGTGCAAAGTTGGGTGAAATTGAAAGGCTGTGTTCAAATGTTTAATTATTATTTATTGGCCTGTTCAGTAAGTAGCCCCGTAAGCTTTTACAGTAGATGTTAGCCATTGAAGGAATGATGATGAATGAGGTTAAATTCTTATGAACAATTTAAAAAGTGTTTAGGCCTCAAGCTTAGGCTCAACAACAATATTATAAATTATATTATAAATTGTTCATGTTGACATCTCCATACGTCTTGGCTTAGGTTACATGCACTGTTAGTTTGGGGGTAGTGCGAAATGATACCAAACTTGTAATTTTCCATGCAAAATATGTGTATTAATGTATATATACTTTTTGGGGGAGAGGAGATAATAAAATCAGGCTTTTTCCCTGTGTGCCCTGTACGTTGGAATAAAAAAAATTATTTAGTAGGCTAAATCCCTAAATTTATAATAGTATCGCATATAGTTTTAAGTTAGCAAATTATTTATTTAGTATTTATTTTATTATTTAGTCAAAATTTAGTATCATTTATTTTGACCTAGCTTTGATTGGCCTTGAATTTGAAACCTCAGGCCAATATTGTGAGCCACTTGTGTCCATGCTATTTTGGCATGCTCACAGCGCTTTGATGCCCTAAATCTATTTAAAGAAAAATGTCTTTAAATGGTTCTTAAATGACTTTTTATCATTTTCAAATACGTGTAACCCAAAAATTGAGGCAAACTGTTCCACAATTTAGGTGCAATAGCTTCAAAAGAGCGCACCCCAAATGACTTCTATCTGATTCCATCCACACCAGGAACTTTCAGTAAGGACTGTGTTGAAGAGCGCAGGTACTGTATGGATACATTTTTTTTTAGAAATCAGTTTTTAAAGATATAGGCCTACACAGGCAATATATAATAATAATACATAGGTGCAGTGTCTTCCATATCATACTCATACAGTTCATACAGTATACAGCTCAGGGATAGACTATCTCAATATTTAATTTACATACTCCTTTTATTTTAGCACAGGTAGAATATGCCATGGCTGCAATAGTTTAAATGGGTATTCACGTTTTCACTGGCTTAATTATTTGAAATGCCTGGTAGCTAGGCCCATCTGTTTATTTTTAGATAGTTCTTTAACGACAAAGTACAAGTCATCGTTATTTGTTATTCGTTGCTATAAACAAATTGTTTTCTTATAGTAGAGATTTCTAGATTAACACACCCAAAAATTGATTCGCTCGTTAAATATCGATTAATTAAGAGTTGAGTAGGCCTATTATACTTCACTCTAAAATAGAAAATCCATTAACAGTCGCACGCAACGCAGCGGCTGTTATAGCCAGAGGCAGTGGTCGCGATTCTTTCAAATCGACGTCAAAGTGTGACAAATAGAAGTCTAATTATCTATAAATGGGAACAAGAAGTCAATTACTAGACCATATTATATGCCATATGTTTTAACTCAATAACAGTTTAATGATCCACAGTTGTAATGAATGGGCTTCGTTTTCTTTATTTATACTGGATTTCAAAAACAATTTTATAAATAGTGGAATATCCACCCTAAGACTAGTTAATTTTATGACAGGCTTATTTTAAATGTTTTATTATTTTAGTTTTTTTTTTAAATTTAGGCAACGTTATCATGGTCTGCGTTTGCGTGTGAGTGATAGAGAGTCCGGAGAGCGAGCGAGAGAAACAGGGGCAGAGGGACAGACGGGGAGATAGAGAGAAAAATATATACAGAGAGAGAGAGGGGGGGGGGCAGAGAGAGAGAAGGGGAGTGAGAGATTAATATCTCATATTATACTCGCACAATCTTCAGAGAGGATTAACTCCCCTTAAATCACAATGGTGCCACTAAGCCCCTAGGCGTATCCCTATATCTGAAAAGCCACTCTAAAAGAACGCTGAAAATAAGGCTGTAGGCCTACTTCAAATTTCTTTTTAAAAAGGTGCTTCGCATAGCAGTTACGTCCCTAAAAAATATGAATAAAAAATTAATATTAAAAAGTACATTGATCTCCATACAAGTCTTTATCTGTCGAAGTAAACGTATTGTACGAGGCTAAATGTAATAGCCTAAATACCCCAGTTGCAGTTGGCTCATTCCTGCCAAAGACAGTCAGGGACTGCAACAAGCTTCCATAAATATCCTCTTCAACACCAGGCACAGAAACATTGCAAATCCCCTCTACATACATAGGAGCCAGAATGATCAATAAATTGATCGCGGGTCCTAAATATAACATAGAAGAGGAAAAGGGAGCATTTAAGCTTATAAAGTGCGTTACTTGAATGCATGTTTTGTGCAGTGACTTTAGCAGATGGGAAGGTCACGCACTGCGGGCGCCATGGCAGACGATAGCTAGTTGTTTTTTTTTAAACTAATCCTTGATTCAGAACGGTGCGCTTCCAAACACGTATTGCTTTATTAAAACTAAAATGTAATAGCCTAAATACCCCAGTTGCAGTTGGCTCATTCCTGCCAAAGACAGTCAGGGACTGCAACAAGCTTCCATAAATATCCTCTTCAACACCAGGCACAGAAACATTGCAAATCCCCTCTACATACATAGGAGCCAGAATGATCAATAAATTGATCGCGGGTCCTAAATATAACATAGAAGAGGAAAAGGGAGCATTTAAGCTTATAAAGTGCGTTACTTGAATGCATGTTTTGTGCAGTGACTTTAGCAGATGGGAAGGTCACGCACTGCGGGCGCCATGGCAGACGATAGCTAGTTGTTTTTTTTTAAACTAATCCTTGATTCAGAACGGTGCGCTTCCAAACACGTATTGCTTTATTAAAACTAAAATGTAATAGCCTAAATACCCCAGTTGCAGTTGGCTCATTCCTGCCAAAGACAGTCAGGGACTGCAACAAGCTTCCATAAATATCCTCTTCAACACCAGGCACAGAAACATTGCAAATCCCCTCTACATACATAGGAGCCAGAATGATCAATAAATTGATCGCGGGTCCTAAATATAACATAGAAGAGGAAAAGGGAGCATTTAAGCTTATAAAGTGCGTTACTTGAATGCATGTTTTGTGCAGTGACTTTAGCAGATGGGAAGGTCACGCACTGCGGGCGCCATGGCAGACGATAGCTAGTTGTTTTTTTTTAAACTAATCCTTGATTCAGAACGGTGCGCTTCCAAACACGTATTGCTTTATTAAAACTAAAATGTAATAGCCTAAATACCCCAGTTGCAGTTGGCTCATTCCTGCCAAAGACAGTCAGGGACTGCAACAAGCTTCCATNAGCTAGTTAGGGGCGCCAAAATGTGCTTTGATATTATTTTATTGATGAAAATAATGGGTTTGAGAGTTGAAAAAAAGAAAAAGGGGCGCTAAAAATGGATCTTGTCCCCGGGCGCCAAACACCCTCGCTACGCCACTGGGTACAAGTCACCATAAAAAGCCGTATTCATCAATAATAATAAAATAATAATGATAGATAAATGGTGCTTTTTTAATTCGTTTTACGTCTCAAATAAATCAATCAAAATATCTGTGAAATCTCTCAGCAAGATTTCAAATGTGCATCTTTCTGGCCTTATATTCAGGTACTATTTTTTTAAATTTTAGTTTTATTCAGTTTTTCCTGTTGTTTTGTTCGCTGACGAAGGCTACCTGCCGACACGTTCGTTGTTTTATTGCGTTCCTTTCTCAGGTTTAACATTACTTTGTTTTACTAATTTCATATTGTGCTAATAACCTGATTTCAGTATCCCCCCTTGTTACCCATATTCATTTTCTAAATACTGGTGAAAATCTGTCTGTATGCTGTTTTGCACCACGTACTTTTAGACATAGAGATAAATGGATCTTGGTCAATCTACGGATACAAAGTGATCATTCTTCATTTTCCAGAAGGAAATACTAAATGGTTTGAATTATTTTATTTTTTTAAACTTGCCCCGTTTAGAGTTGGGGGCTAAATTTCGCCCCCCCCCCCTTTATATGAGATACATAAATAAAATGACAATGAATGGATAGATACAGATAAAAACTTGGTCACCATTTCATTGTCTGACATCAAACACATATTAAATAAACTATAAAAAGAGCGAGTAATATCACACGAACTAAAAATCCTTCACTTGAGGAAGTAGTGGAAGAAAAATGCTGTTTAAAACTTTAAAAAACAAATTCGGATGATACATCCCACCCACTTCATCACAGATACCTAAGATCACATCCCACCCACTTCATCACAGATACCTAAGATCACATCCCACCCACTTCATCACAGATACCTAAGATCACATCCCACCCACTTCATCACAGATACCTAAGATCACATCCCACCCACTTCATCACAGATACCTAAGATCACATCCCACCCACTTCATCACAGATACCTAAGATCACATCCCACCCACTTCATCACAGATACATAAGATCACATCCCACCCACTTCATCACAGGTACCTAAGATCACGTCCCACCCACTTCATCACAGGTACCTAAGATAACATCCCACCCACTTCATCACAGGTACCTAAGATCACGTCCCACCCACTTCATCACAGGTACTTAAGATCACGTCCCACCCAATTCATCACAGGTACCTAAGATCACTTCCCACCCACTTCTTCACAGGCACCTAAGATCAAATCCCACCCACTTCATCACAGGTACCTAAGATCACATCCCACCCACTTCATCACAGGTACTTAAGATCACATCCCACTCACTTCATCACAGGTACTTAAGATCACTTCCCACCCACTTCTTTACAGGCACCTAAGATCACATCCCACCCACTTCATCACAGGTACCTACGATCACGTCCCACCCACTTCATCACAGGCACCTAAGATCACATCCCACTCACTTCATCACAGGTACTTAAGATCACTTCCCACCCACTTCTTCACAGGTACCTAAGATCACATCCCACCCACTTCATCACAGATACCTAAGATCACATCCCACTCACTTCATCACAGGTACTTAAGATCACATCCCACCCACTTCATCACAGATACCTAAGATCACATCCCACCCACTTCATCACAGATACCTAAGATCACATCCCACTCACTTCATCACAGGTACTTAAGATCACTTCCCACCCACTTCTTTACAGGCACCTAAGATCACATCCCACCCACTTCATCACAGGCACCTAAGATCACATCCCACCCACTTCATCACAGGTACCTACGATCACGTCCCACCCACTTCATCACAGGCACCTAAGATCACACCCCACCCACTTCATCACAGGTACCTACGATCACGTCCCACCCACTTCATCACAGGCACCTAAGATCACATCCCACCCACTTCATCACAGGTACCTACGATCACGTCCCACCCACTTCATCACAGGCACCTAAGATCACATCCCACCCACTTCATCACAGGTACCTAAGATTAGCTCGATCAGGGCGAATTCTTTCTCTAAAAGTTATGACAGAAAGATATAGAAAATTATTTTCTTCGGCAGTCTGTATGAATTCACCAGCGTGCTCCCTCGGTGATTATAAAATAAAAATAATCTCTAATGTAGTGTTATTGTCAATAAATGAGTTTATTTATGACTGACTTTTACGCTAGAGAAATATTCTTTAGATGATTTGTGTTTGTCTTGGTTATAAATATTTGTTTATGTGCTGAAAATGACTATTTACAGCGTATTAAAAAAAAACATTTCCACTTATTAATCTTACCTTACGTTATTATAAAAACACCCTTATGCATCCAAAATATTCTTATATTTCTATAAGTCCCTATGATGTTCCTCAGATGGCCCCTTTTTTTTGAATGGGTTGCTATCAGGGATCGTATTTTATTTTAATTGATAAGCGGGCATAGCTTTGGCATCGGTAAATATTTTTTTTTAATAAGACATTTTTTTTTTTTTTAAAGTTGAATAGGTCTTTAATAATTTTGTTGTTTTGTTTTTGTCTTTCCTTGGCCCAGTTTGAATATTAACTGAAAAGAACAGGGCCCCAAATTCAATGTTTATAAGATTTGTTATTAACTGGATTTTTTTAAGGGAAATTTTTTAAAATGTTGATTGGTACATAAGCAAAATGTTTTTGACAGTACCATGCATGTACGCTATCAACGCTTAAGAAGATTTTATCCCAATCCAAATCCAGGCGACGCCGGGTATATTGGCTAGTAAGATATATTAACAAAATAAATCGATTAAGAGTCTATCTAATTTTGCTAGATTCAAAAACTAAGCTATGTATCAAATTTCAGCACTTTAACGCTGCACGCAGGCCAAGCCTATCCCAAGCAAGGGGCGGCAACCCGCAGTCTGCGACGTCAAAAAATACGGCCCGCGAATGCCTGATTCATCACCGAATAACCTATTCCGACTTCATTCAACTGAGAAAAGAGATTGCATTAAAAAGTTGAATGATTGAAAAAAACAAAACAAATATAACATTAGTTTACTTTAATTTTTTGTTGTTGTAACTATTATTTTGCATTTCATTATGTACATTAAGAATATATAAATTATGCTCTACATTGTTTAGTGGGTGGTTATTTTAATATCAGGTGTAACGACAACATGCTGCCCGCGAAAGGTTTAATCTCTAACCAAGTTGCCCGCGAAAGGTTTAATCTCCAAACAAGTTGCCCGTAAAAAGTTTAATTTCTAACCAAGTTGCCCAGTGAAAGGTTTAATCTCTAATCAATTTTGCCCGTAAAATGTTTAATTTCTAATTACGTTGCCCGTGAAAGGTTTTAACTCTAACCAAGTTGTCCGTGAAAAGTTTAATCTCTAAACAATTTGCCCGTGAAAAGTTTAATCTCTAACCAAGTTGCCCGTGATACCCTTTGGTTTGGTCCTAAGCTTGTGAATGTGATGTCAAAACCAAACAACACAGACATCTGCCATTATGATGCTCAAAGGATGTTGGTCAGGATGACTTAATATTGAATCACAGACGCCACTTTCAACATCGGCACAACTAGGAAATATAATCCATCATAATCATCTACATCTTTAAAAAATAAATAATAATCAACCACTGGATTCACCGTAAGTCAGATTAAAGGACATTTTATATCACCAAACACCCTTTTGGACAAAAAGGTGTGACATGGATGTAATACACTTATACAGGACAAATTTGACTTAGATAGGAACACCTATATATTTTACAGGACAAAAGTGACTTTGATATAACACCTACATATTATATAGATAACATATATATTTTACAGGAAAAATGGGACATGGATATTACACCTAGACAGGACAAATGTGACATGGATACAACACATAAATTATATTATACAGGACAAATGTGACATGGACATAACACCTGAATATCATACAGGACAAATGTGACATGGGCATAACACCTATATATCATACAGGATAAATGTGACATGGACACAACACCTGTATATCATACAGGGCACACGTTCCACTCTGCCACCACGTAACACTTCCTCAGATGACGGGCTGGAACAAACGTATCTAGAAATCAATTCGGCTGCGGCATTACGGTCTCAACTTCTCAACAACAGCCTGGGGCTCCTATGGGGGGGGGGGAGGAAGGGAGGTGGGTCTTCTTTATTTCTTTTTATCAGAACAGCGGCGTTTTCAATCAGCCAAGAAACTTCAAACATTTGATCTCCGAGAAGCAGATTTCAATACGATAGCTCAAATATTTGAATACAAAATTTTAGAGTTGGCCTCGTGGGAGGGAAAAGGGGGGGGGGGGCAGATTGCAACAATGGCTCGGGATAGTCATGCAGGGCTAGACGGGAAAACGTCTCATCGCATTACGTAATGTTACTATTTTTAGACAATTTTTTCGTAAAACGTAGCTTCTGACAATGTATTTCCGCATACATGTATAGTGGTCACAATTTGTTTGTAAAATCTTTCGTAAAATAAAGTGTTCACATGTTTTCGTCTTGGTTGAGACCCACTACGCTGTCTCACATCAACGTAGGATGACCGAACAGCTTTTGAGAGATGGGCCCAACAGAATACCAGGATGTTTTATTAATATCTTAATGAGATTGGCCAGACTGTACGCCCGGATATTCTATTAATAGATTTCCGCCAATAAATGACAAACCTTATGACGTTTGAACTCGACATCATTATTTCTTTAAATGGTAAAAAATATTTTAAAAACTTGTTGAGCTCCCCATCTTGATTTCTATGTGATTTCAGTAGGTTTGATTCGTTGTCAGAATACAAATAACAAAGGAAATGAGACTTTTTGAAGATCCATTGGTGTCCGCTTTTAAGGGACATCGAGGCATAAGCATTAAGTGCAGCTTTTTTTTAGATTGTTATAAATTAACAGTAACTTTGATACTTGGCTACCATTGCTTTTTTTAATTTTTTTTTTTTTAAAATTTATAAAATTTTTTTTTTTTTTTTTTTTTTTAAATTTTGATGGTGTGTATCTTACATTTGTTTACAGGTACCGAGGTTGAGCAAATGAAACAATGGTAAATTATAAGTGGTAATTATATTGATTAAGTGAGACTATATCATGGGAGGAACAAGGTGTCTCTGTCTAGGCGGGTTTAAGGTAGACGTGGGGAATCAAAGCCTCTTGTAGAAGTTACGGTGTATAGAAGATCATATGGGATGGTATATAGAAGATAAATAGGATGGCTTACAGAAGATGAATGGGATGGCTTATAGAAGATCATATGGGATGGCTTATAGAAGATCATATGGGATGGCTTATAGAAGATCATATGGGATGGCTTGTAGACGATCATATGGCATGGTATGTAGAAGATGAATGGGATGGTATATAGAAGATCAATGGGATGGCTTACAGAAGACCATATTGCATGGTATATAAAAGGTCAATGGGATGGTATATAGAAGGTCAGTGAGTTAGCTTATAGAAGATCATATGGCATGGTATATAGAAGATGAATGGGATGGTATATAGAACATCATTGGGACATCAATATGTTGCTTATAAAAGACCGTATGGCATGGTATATAGAAGATCATATGGGATGGCTTATATAAGATCAATGGGATGGTATATAGAAGGTCGGTGGAATGGTATATAGAAGGTCAGTGGGATGTCTTATAGAAGATCATATGGATGGTACATAGAAGATGAATAGGATGGTATATTGAAGATCATTGGGATGGCGTATAGAAGATCATTGGGATGGCTTATAGAAGATCATATGGCATGATATGTAGAAGATCATATGTGATGGCTTATATAAGATCATTTGGCATTGTATATAGAAAATGAATGGGATGGTATATAGAAGATTATATGTGATGGCTTATATAAGATCATTTGGCATTGTATATAGAAAATGAATGGGATGGTATATAGAAGATCATTGGGATGGCGTATAGAAGACCATATGGCATGGTTTATAGAAGATCATATGGGATGGCTCACAGAAGATCAATGGGATGGTATATAGACGGTCAGTGGGGTGAGTTTTGGCGGTTTTTCCAACGACGTAAGGCAATTTAAAGATAAATTGAGAAATTGGAGTGGCGGTATTCAATTTAATTTCTGAGATATGAACTGCCATTATGATTTTAAATAAAATTTGGGGGGGGGGGGTATGTTAAAATACTTTTTTTTTAATTGACCACCAGTTTTTTTGCTTTATTATTGTCTGGAATACAAATATATATTTCAATTATTGTAAGTGTTATATCCCACAGACTTAATAGAGTTTGATATATCACAGACTATATAGAGTTAAATATATCCCAGACTAAATAGGTCGCGAAATTGAAACTTTCCCTTTGTCATCATGGAGACCTCTTTATAAGCTCTTCAATCGGGCAAGGGGTGGGGGGAGGGGTGGGGACTAGAATGACATAAAATCTTTGTTGATCCTCAGGAGGAGGGTAGGACAAACGGGTTCGAAACATTGGGGTAAGAGCCACTGCTAATGTTCTAGTGATAAGACTGTGTAGTTTACCTCAAGAATTATGGTCTGACGGGGAAGCCTTATGTCATGTGATAGCTCAGTGGTCAATGGGTGCGGGTCAAGTAATAGCTCGGTATGCAATGTGTGCGGGTCATGTGATAGCTCAGTGGTCAATGTGTGCGGGTCATGTGATAGCTCAGTGGTCAATGTGTGCGGGTCATGTGATAGCTCAGTGGTCAATGGGTGAGGGTCATGTGATAGCTCAGTGGTCAATGTGTGCGGGTCATGTGATAGCTCAGTGGTCAATGTGTGAGGGTCATGTGATAGCTCAGTGGTCAATGTGTGCGGGTCATGTGATAGCTCAGTGGTCAATGTGTGAGGGTCATGTGATAGCTCAGTGGTCAATGTGTGCGGGTCATGTGATAGCTCAGTGGTCAATGGGTGCGGGTCATGTGATAGCTCAGTGGTCAATGTGTGCGGGTCATGTGATAGCTCAGTGGTCAATGTGTGCGGGTCATGTGATAGCTCAGTGGTCAATGGGTGAGGGTCATGTAATAGCTCAGTGGTCAATGTGTGCGGGTCATGTGATAGCTCAGTGGTCAATGTGTGCGGGTCATGAGAAAGCTCAGTGGTCAATGGGTGAGGGTCATGTAATAGCTCAGTGGTCAATGTATGCGGGTCATGTGATAGCTCAGTGGTCAATGTGTGAGGGTCATGTGATAGCTCAATGGTCAATGGGTGAGGGCCATGTGATAGCTCAGTGGTCAATGAGTGAGGGTCATGTGATAGCCCAGTGGTCAATGGGTTGGGTAAAAGAGATTAAGGAGCTAGAAGATTAAAGACTGGCCGGAAATGGGGAACAGAAGAATAAGGAGATCATATTATCATCATATGCGGTTTGGTTTGAATTTTGTAAATACTTTGAAATTATTGAACACGAAGACAATTACCTATGAGACTACAGGATTGTTGTATAATAATATATGTTGTGACATAGAAGGATTGCGGTATAATAATATGTTTTGACCTAAAGGATTGTAGTATAATAATATTTTGTGTGCCATAAATACAAAATTATTAAGGAGGACTTGCGATGCCACTTCTAACTGACCCCCCCCCCCCTTCCTTTTTTTCACTCACACCCGCACACACAACCTACAAACGTTCACTACCGTAGTTAGCTGTTTCCTCACTGTGTTCGTCCACTGACTCAGTTCAATGGAGATGATACAGCTCAAACTACACATGTTTTGAATGTACCCACCCACTTTTTGCCCGTAGTGAAGCACAGCTAGAGGTGCTAGCATCTAATGTGTAGAGAGAAATTGTCTTATAGTGGGGAGAGCGTGCTTATTGCTCTATTTGAATGTGCTGGGCCCTTTGATCTGGTTGTGGGCCCTTTGATCAAGTTTTAGGCCATTTGATCTAGCTGTAGGCCTTTTGATCTAGTTGTAGACCCCTTGATCTAGTTGTAGGCCATTTGATCTGGTTGTGGGCCCTTTGATCAAGTTGTAGGCCATTTGATCTAGCTGTAGGCCATTTGATCTAGTTGTAGACCATTTGATCTAGTTGTAGACCATTTGATCTACCTTTAGGCCCTTTGATCTAGCTGCATGCTTTTGATCTAACTGTAGGTGATTTGAAATAGTTATAGGCCCTTTGATCTAGCTGTAGCCCCTTTGATATAGCTGCAGGCCCTTCGATCTAGCTGCATGCTTTTGATCTAACTGTAGGTGATTTGAAATAGCTACAGGCCCTTTGATCTAGCTGTAGGCCTTTTGATCTAGTTGTAGGCCCTTTGTTCTAGCTGTATGCTCTTTGATCTAGCTTAATGCCCTTTGATCTAGCTTAATGCCATTTGATCCAGCTGTAGGCTCTTCGTGAGAGCGGCTCGAATAGAAACTATGAAAGGGAAGATAGATGTATACAACATGTGACCTATGGATAGATGTGTAGGTCTATGACCTATGTGATTGTTACATGCCGAACTTTTGAGACAGATATTAACATGCGTAGTAATTTAATTTGTATTATTACCACGTTCGCAAAGCGGCACCCGTTTATTGGGGAATTGAGTGTTAGTGTTTGAGTTAGTGTTTGAGTTAGTGTTTGAGTTAGTGTTTGAGTTAGTGTTTGAGTGAGTGTTTGAGTTAGTGTTTGAGTTAGTGTTTGAGTTAGTGTTTGAGTTAGTGTTTGAGTTAGTGTTTGAGTGAGTGTTTGAGTGAGTGTTTGAGTTAGTGTTTGAGTGAGTGTTTGAGTTAGTGTTTGAGTTAGTGTTTGAGTTAGTGTTTGAGTTAGTGTTTGAGTTAGTGTTTGAGTTAGTGTTTGAGTTAGTGTTTGAGTTAGTGTTTGAGTTAGTGTTTGAGTTAGTGTTTGAGTTAGTGTTTGAGTTAGTGTTTGAGTTAGTGTTCGTTTTCGTGTGTTTGAATATGCGTTAGAGTTCGACTTAGTTTTTGCGTTACGTGCGTGTCAATGATTGCACTGACCTGTGGTCACTACCTGGTCAGCGATTGTACTGACCTGTGGGCACTACCTGGTCAGCGATTGCACTGACCTGTGGTCACTACCTGGTCAGTGATTGTACTGACCTGTGGGCACTACCTGGTCAGCGATTGTACTGACCTGTGGTCACTACCTGGTCAGCGATTGTACTGACCTGTGGGCACTACCTGGTCAGCGATTGTACTGACCTGTGGGCACCACCTGGTCAGCGATTGTACTGACCTGTGGGCACTACCTGATCAGCGATTGTACTGACCTGTAGTCACTACCTGGCCAATGATTGCACTGACCTGTAGTCACTACCTGGTCGATGATTGCACTGACCTGTGGGCACTACCTGGTTGATAATTGTACTGACCTTTGGTCACTATCTGGCCAATGATTGCACTGACCTGTGGTCACTACCTGGTCGATGATTGCACTGACCTGTGGTCACTACCTGGTCGATAATTGTCCTGACCTGTGGTCACTACCTGGTCGGTGGTAATCCTTGCGTTACTCCATGAAGTCACACCGACTTAACGATGAAACGTGACCTAAGTCCTTAGAATTAAAACCTCTGCAATAATAAGAGAACGTTGTTGGTTTCTTTAAAAATTTCAGAGCAGTCCTAAAAGTCTTTTCCTCCTTACAGCCACACACAATACACATCATGCATGTTAGATGAGGGATATGGTAGATGAGTGATACGTTAGATGAGTGATACGTTGGATGAGTGATAAATTAGGCGTGTGATATTTTGGATGAGTGATATATTTGATGAGTGTCTGATAGGTTAGATGAGTGATATGTTGCAGATCGCCTTTTAGTAGAAGCCGAGCAATGCACGTCAGCTATTGGCGCCATTAAAATGTGCACAAACAACTACAGCTACAAAAAGAAAACTTATACCAGTTATAACGATAACAATGAACATAATAATACTACTAATAAAATAATAACAATAATAACAAAAACAATTACAACAATAAAATAACAACAATAATAATAACACCAACAATAACAAAAATAACCCCAACAATAATAACGATAATAATGACAGTAATAACAGCAACAATAATAACAACAATAATATCCACAGCAATAATGACAATAATTATAACAATAACAATGTTTGATTGGCATTTGTTTAAATAATTATTAGTTCATTACACGGTTACGGCAAAATATTTATTTTCAGATCTTATTTTCAGACTATATTGACCATAACATTTAGTCCAACTTTAAATAATGTCAGAGCATGCTTTAAAGATTAACCATTCATAAAGTGATAAAGTATTCAGTGTTAACTCACGTTCCAATTCTAAAACTAGTTCAATCCTGACAACGCAGCACGAACTTCAAGAACAAAGTGAAAAACACTTGAGCTAAAGCAGCACTGTTGATAGTATATCAGCAACGCTTCCCAGCTGTCGGTTCACTGCCTTTAGTTTCGTGTCTTCAAGGTGGCACCGAGTTTTAAACGCACCTTACAAACGGTATTGGGCGTATCTAAGGACGCCGCAAACAATGGCCGCGGTGTGTTAGTTATGGGTTACCGTACTTGGTAGGAACAATCTATAAACGGAAGGAAAAGGGGAGTGCGTGTGTGTGGTGTGTGTGTTTGTGGGAAGAAAGGGGGGGGGGGGCTTGGTGCCCAGGCGATCGATTGGTTTGGACTGATCTATGAGGTACCGTTGTCCCCAAGAGAATGGCTCTTACCAGAAATTTCATAACAGAGTGGTAATAATGAATGGCTGGTGGGGCTAATGGAAAGAGGAAGTAAACAGACACTCAGATATGAATATTACAGTTAGGGCCACCAAGAGATTAGTGGGGCCCTCAATAATTCCTGGGTTTCTTGGGGGGGGGGGGTTCTAAATACTTTAGTAATATAATATACACCTGCATCACGCGACCACACCAGAGACACTAAAGTAGACCTTATAGTATGTACTAAATTTAAACGAAAACTCTGGTTAGGTCATCAGTAGGTTTCGTGGATTCTGACGTGAACACAATCATGTGACCCCCTCCAACTTTAGGACCAATCATGTGACCCCCTCCAACTTTAGGACCAATCATATGACCCCCTCCAACTTTAGGACCAATCATGTGACCCCCTCCAACTGTAGGACCAATCACGTGACCATGGCATCTAAATTAAGAAACTGATGAACGTAAGTTGTAAAAGCCAAATAAGCAAGGCCTTTTTTTTTTTTTTTTTTTTAATATTTTTTTTTTTTTTAATCTAAATTAAGAAACTGATGAACGTAAGTTGTAAAAGCCAAATAAGCAAGGCCTTTTTTTTTTTTTTTTCTTTAATATTTCTTGATTCTTTGTGGGTGGACAGAGATTGTTGAGATGTACAAGTTGATAATAGTTACTATTGGTCATGTTCATTGGAGATGTCAACCAGGCCTACACCCTTCATACAAAATATAACATCAAACCTGGCATAAAATGGGACCTGACTTGTGAGGCAATAAGCCGCACGTCCTTCTTCGGCGTGTTCTTGGCAAGCCTGGTGGACTCTGTTAAAATTGACCTATTCGTCAACTGAATGTGTTTGCCCTCTATATCTCTTGTTCAATTTTCCGCCCACAGCGAAAATGATTTTTAACACCTGGCCTTGTCGGAGCAGCTGACTACTGATGGAGTTTTGTGTCTGGGTTACGGCCTTCTCTTGACACGAACTCGGTTTTATCTGTGATGATTTGCCTCCCATTCTTGTTTATTCGCTAATTTTGTAACTGCGCATTTTAAAACAACAGATAAGTCAGATACCAACGATGCATCACAAACATAAATCAAGAAACCGACAATTTAACTAGACATGATATTACTTTTATTAAAGAATTCTTTTATTCGGGTTATTTAAAAAAAAAAAAAATGGAAATAAAGAACAATCTCATCCTTGTCACGCCGTTCAAACATTTCTTGAAAATCTCAGTTTTACAATACCTCAACATGGGAGATCACCCTCTCATCCAAAATCATCTCCCCTTGACGAAAAGCTAATAGTGACATGTTCTCATGCATTCATTAAGTCCTTTACATTTGAAATATTGTCTCTTGAACATTAAAAAACAAATCTTTTTAGAAAAATTAAAATGACGATCTATTAGGAGACATCAAACGAAATGAGCTATTGTTAGCTTGTGAATGATAATTATTGAAATATGATACAATTCAAACAGGCCTAGATCTACATTGAGAGGAAAAGTTTTAAGCAGGTGAACAAAAGAAGCCATTACTCCTATGTTACCGGCGATACGCTCCTAGCTGTTTACGCCAGACTGAGAGCGTAAAGAGCAAACATAGGGGGATCAGTGCCGCCTAGTATCTCTTTGAGCGCCCCCCCCCCCCACACTTTTCAGTTGTCGCCCATTTTCAAAGTTGAGTTGTTTTTGTCCTTGTCACTAGTTTAGGCTAAAATGATAATTATTGAAATATGATACAATTCAAACAGGCCTAGATCTACATTGAGAGGAAAAGTTTTAAGCAGGTGAACAAAAGAAGCCATTACTCATATGTTACCGGCGATACGCTCCTAGCTGTTTACGCCAGACTGAGAGCGTAAAGAGCAAACATAGGGGGATCAGTGCCGCCTAGTATCTCTTTGAGCGCCCCCCCCCCCACACTTTTCAGTTGTCGCCCATTTTCAAAGTTGAGTTGTTTTTGTCCTTGTCACTAGTTTAGGCTACCAACTTAATTTAAATATCCGAGGTTCACTGCAGGCGCAAGAATTTATTTTAAAAATGGGGGGTGGGGGGGGTAGACTTAGAAATAATAAACTGTATTTAAATAAAATTCTACTGCATTATTAATATTTAACTGGAATTTCAGAAAACTAAATTTTCTGGACATTGTAAGGATTTAAGATTTTTTTCCTTTAAAAATTGACCATTGTTTATTGCGGTACATTTGTATTCTTGCTGCAGCACCGGTAATACTTAGCCACCCTTGGGATACATTGATTTACCCAAAATAAAGACTTTTGGGATCAACTTTCGCTTAAATTGACCTAGTTACTGTAGAGCCGTCTGGTAACTTTTGATGGCTCTTGTTACGTCATGACATGCGTCTGTTCATTATTTTTTAAAATATTCCGTTGAAAAAAAAAAGTGTGTGTTTGGGGTAGGGGGGGGGGGTTAAATGAGAGAGGGAATGAAGCCATTAAGTAGGCGTAACAACATAAATAAATCTAAGATATTTCAAAAATGAAAAGTGAGCACCACAAAAAAATTAAGAAACAAAATTTTCTAGCCTTAAAAGTCAAATGACCATTAAATAGAAGACAAGTTTGACGTTTTGATGAGGCCTTGATCAGAATTACTATTTTACAAGCTGATTAAAAAATTTAAAAATACAAAAAATTAATTAAAATTTCAACATTTTCTGCTGGTACAATGTGAGAGATATAAAAATCTGAATGAATTATGTCAGTTTTAAATAAGAAAACCAAATTCTGGACAAACATAGCTAAGAGATATAGACTCAAATCATATGTTTTCTAGCTATGAAAATGGTTTCTCTGTGGAAGACTAGACTAAATATAGAGACATTGAACATTGATCCTCTTGAACATTTTCTTAAACACCGACTAACACCCAGAGCCATCATGTGTGCCCTGCAACCACTCCAGGTGCAGGGGTCTCAAGATTAAAGGGGCCCGAAGATGTTATGCGGAAAAAATTTAATCAAAGTCTTTTTAATTCCTTTGAATGGCTAAAGAGAAAACAGAAAAGTTGCAGGGGGCCTCCAAAAGTCACCAGATGGCTCTGCGGTCAACATTATTATCCCATCATTAAATAAACTCAAATATCTAGAGCTCTGCTGTCAACATTATTATCCCATCATTAAATAAACTCAAATATCTAGAGCTCTGCTGTCAACATTATTATCCCATCATTAAATAAACTCAAATATCTAGAGCTTTTATTCGTGCTTTAACTTAAAACTGAACCCATATCATTATAATCTAAATCATGGAAATTATTATTCCATTATTTTAGAGAATTGGCATTGTGTGCAGCCATAATTTATAATCTATATTTATGCAATAGCTTAACAAGAGTACCGTCATATCTACAGATTCTGTTTGGCTATCATGTTGAAATGATAATGACCGCTTCTACACCAGATTACTGCTAAGGTTGGGAATAATGTTGCAGTGAGTCGGTACTGTCAGTTCGACCCACTAATTTCATGACGCCAAGATAGTCGAAACACAGGGACTGTGGCAAGTCCCAGTAGTTGACAGCCTGTCCCAACAATGAGGTTATTTTGTAAATAGCATGTCATTGATTAATATCACTAGGTGTTATGATGTTTCATGCTATGACGTTTCATGTTATGATGTTTCATGTTATGATGTGTCATGTTCATTACTGAGTATGGGGAAACTCTACAACTGTACACACATTAACCCCAAAAATTTAACAAATAAATAATGCCAACACACTGGCAGATGCAGGAGGGGTTGTGGTGGGAGGGGGTTAGGGAAGAGGGGTTGGGGTGGGAGGGGGGTTAGGGAGGAGGGGTTGTGGTGGGGGGGGGGTGGGGGAGAGGGG